CCTCAACTGTTGATCACTCACGTCTGCTTCAAAGGATCCGACGGATGCCCATGTCTTCTTGACTACAGATGTTTTAAGCAATTTTTGACTGTATTTGGCCCTTTTACTCAAAGATTATCTCTTTGTCTTATCACTCTTTTAGTCATTACCTCTACTTAGGAAAGGTGAGCAGATATAGGACAGGGACATTTGGCTGCACTTCAAATGGGCATGATGAAATCATGGAGCAGTTTGCTTCCTCCTTGCCGTGCTCAAATGAATCGATCCTTGGATTCCGGGAGATTCTGTTGATTGCTGCCAAAATCTGACGGAAGTATGAACTTTCCAAGGTACCTACATAGGATAGTTACCGTATCGTGTTATATATGTCTAATGCCCTCCAAATTTCACTGCGATTTTTTATGAAGGATAAGTGCGCGGCGCATCAACAAAACGGTCTGATCCAACCCAGACGCTTTAACGGTTTCACCTCTGAAAACCGGATCTTCCTGTCTGTACTCCACTATGGAGTGTGGGTACTTTCGGGCTGTATTTGTTCCAACGAAACTGCTCAGATCAATTCGATCATCCGCATCTCCATGATTAATCAGTGACTTTTAAAATTGGGACAGCTATGCTAACTAGCACCCGCTGTGCCGATTGTGTGTTAGCTTTGAACAGATAATGAAAAGAGAGTGGTTCTATTCTTCATTCTTTCACTCTTGAAGATCCCATTCAAAATGTTTAGCAGACTTCCGCAGTATTGGACTTTAGTATTGGAGTTATCATGATAGCATAACTTAAGACGGCGGACTCACAGCTTCTGAGCTTGAAGGAAATTGAATTCGATAACGTATGCCATCAGCTCTATCCTAAATTTTTTCCACTGGAAGATTATAACTGACCTTAAAGGCAAACCCCGGGATTAGCCCGACTAGTAGGAAGGATACCGCGAGGGAAATTGTAAGGTTCATACTACATAGATCATGCCAGCTTCGTCGCAAAATTGCGCGGTTAGGGCGCTAATCCTTACGGGCCTGCAACCATCGACCCTTCGAAAACGCTTCCCACCCACCATTAATGTAGATCGGTGTGCTCTCTCAAACGGCGTGATCTCTGTTTCATCTTCTTTGATCGCCATGTCTCGCCATCGTACCACATCCCCTTATCTAAGGTTAAGGGCCTAATTTCGTTCCCAAACATATATCTTGCTTTCCGCACCACTACAGGTCGTTCCGCCGCAGTCATCACTGCGAAGCATTCTTGTCGCTAGTTTTATCCCGGGGCTTGCCTTCAGCTAAGTTAGGGTCAGGGAGACAATCGCGAAACAACTGTGCCATTGATGGTCATTACCGAGTTGCGAACTCCTTCTTTGTGAATTGTTTTAATGGCAAAACTCCACAACTAACGTTGCTCTGCTGCAAAAAACATATCTAGACTGATTGTGCAGAGGCTTTACAGCAGAATCATATTGCTGTGTTCTAAGCAATGCTTGAAACTCGAGAACATTACAGAAAAACTTCCCTTTAAAAAGAGGCAAGCAATTCGAGAAGGCCTCACAATTATCCATCGACATTCTACGAGGGATACATAAACGCATCGACCGACTAGGGATAAATGCTGCTTCCTAAAGAAGCTTAGTGCTACAATCACTGATTCGTTAGCGGCGTCAAGGAGGGAACACCATGAAGGGGCGGAACACATACCTGGATCGAGATTGAACACCATAGATGAGCCGAGGTGAAAAAAAAGTATAATAAATAATAAGCAAATTTATCAAATTAAACCACTATTAACAGCGTGGCACGCCGGTGGGCATTACTTTCACACATGGGCCCTCGTTTCGCCTGAAAGAGTATTCCACGATTAAAGACCGAAGGGCTCAAAGAAGTGGGAAATTGCTAGCATGGGGTAGAGAGGCGAACTCCCTTACTGAGAGGTGCGGACTAAACGCAGATTCGCATGTAAAGAATATGGCGGAGCTAGCCGCGCCGCTTTCCCTTTGCACAACAGTTGACGCGCGGAACGGCCCATCACGACCAGATCTATACGCAGTGAGTGATTAGATAGCAGATAGAGAGGTTAGCCGTGAAGAGGGCACGATGAGAGTCGCATCAATGCGGAAATTAACGGGCAAGGAAGAGGCTCATTCCTCGGGTTCCGGGCCGCTTCTCATGATTTTCATTCTTTATTGCATCACTGACCATCCTTAACTTGATTTTTGAATGGCATTGCCTTTTCAGCTGGCAGAATCTCCTCCTTTTTATGGTTTGGCGTTTGTCTCGGGTCCAGACACTATGTAATTTCTCGCCGGACCAAAAGAATAATATGTCCCTTACTAATAGAGGTCGCTGAAAGTATAGAAAAACTGTTTGCGCAGTGCGACGTGACGTAAGGTGGGGTCAGCCAATGGATTAAATAATAGGAGATAATTCTAGCAGAACAATTTTAGTTCAAAGGGCAAATTCCTGGGAATTCAAGACTGAGTTACCCTTGCTTCCGACGCTTCGATGGTCTGATCGAGATGATTCGTGCGCCTTTAACCACGATTCACGGACGATCAGACTTGCTGTTTGCGTTTCGTGTGGCTTCTCACACACGAAATACGAAATGATATTTGGTGCAACATGGATCGATAGTAAAGAAAAAAGGAAAAGAACTCACGAAAAAGGCTCGAGCTGTGGGCTTGCTAAGCTTCGTAATGCGGGTGTGCTAAGACAATAAGAGAATGAGTGCGTAGAGGGGATTGCGAGGCGAGGGAGCACAACTTATTAGAGGGCACCAGACAAAAGCCTACTGCGGAGGGTGGGCATTGCAGCTGCTGCAGCTAACTTTACGAGGCCTAGCGTCATTGTCGGGTGAATTTCACGCACAGGGGTGCCACACCTGTAATTGCCTTCGGGGTTCTATCCTCCAGACCGAAGGAACCGTTCACGCGACTTCAGCCCGGTCTGTGCCTTTAAATCGAACTCTTTCATTTCCAGATTGATTTCACTTGCTGCACATTGCCATTTGGTTGTGTCTCATTGATGGTCTCACTTCCACGAACCGCGTTCCGATTAGGAGAAGTGAGTGAAAAAGCATTCTCCCACTTTTGCGACCTCCTCTATGTTACCCGGAAATGATAATTTCAGTCCATTGAGGCCCAAGTTACTGTAAATAACCGGACACGCAAAGGACTTAAAGACTGCGCCCTACAGCTGACGATGAAAACACAATTTGAAGCGATGAGTAGGTCAGCATGATTTTCAACGGGATATTGACCGATGAAGGTTTTTCCTTCCAATGATCGTGGTTTCCAAATGTCGGTATGCTTCCAGGTATGAGCATGTGAACGAGAAGAAATTGAGCGAGCATTTGATTGAAATGGTCCCGTTAGGAAAAGTGAAAGCTCGACGGAAAGAGGTGAGTCATTATGCACAGTCATCATGCTTGCTTCTCCTTAGTCCTATGACCCTGTTTCTTTATAATCTCTGCAGGTGTTCGCAAAGTGCATTATTCAAGTTCCCGAAGGTGCTCCACCGACACAGAACTACAATCGAGACGGTGGAGACACGGCTATCATCGCCATTCATTATGTGTTGAAATTCACTGCCTTGCCCGGTAAGGCTATTGATCTCGATCAGTTTTCAACGTTGGTAGGTTTTTAGTGAGTAGAAATTCCAGTTTCTTAAGAAGCTGTCTGAAGTTCGTACATAATCCCCGTCTAAAAGAAGCACCAGGGTGCAAATCTAGGCCGGTTTTTGAATACGGTAGGCGCTCAGTGTATGTCACCGGATGCTATGAGTCTCGATGGGAAGGCTTTGCGGTACAGCGACTTCGGAATGCTAAGCAATTTCCTTTTATCTGAAGCTCCTCTCCCTTCTAAGCATTTAACTAACTTGGTGTCGGAGCATTTAACTAACTTTTGACAAATCGTTGGCCCACAACTTACTAAAGCGATAATACCGAATCTGAGAATTGCGTACATGACCCATAAACTAATAAATTAAAGGGGTTCAATAAGTCAGCGGGTCCCACTGCCAGGCAGGTGTGATACCAAACATCACCTACCTTGTGATAGGTAAGGGATGGAATGTAGCGTCAACCATGACCGTTGATTCTGGAGGTTCCACTAACGGTGGAGTACGGAATTGTGCAGACTTTGACATTTTTACGACTCCCACCTCCTTCAAGGAGGTCCTGATATAACCCCCACTACCAGCCTCGGAAGGAATCCCTATAGAATCCGCTTCACCACTTCATTACTTTAGCATTTCATGCCTTCATAAAAATTTCGCCAAATTTGTAAAAGAACCCGCCAAAGGAGCCCTTACTACAGATGACCTCAAAACTTGTGCCACCACATTCCTTTCTGAAAATCTCAGGCGCTCAGCCGGTAATGGGGGGGGGGCATAGCGAGAGCATTTCAAACCACGGAAAGCACATTCTTTTATTGTAACGTTCAGGACTAAGCCTTAGAAGGGAAGGAGCCCCCGGGTCCGTGAGCAATCTTGGTTTCCCCGGGGGACTTCCTCCCCCTCCTAGGCTTAGTCCTGACCTGCTGACTAGGTGAATATTACTTTTCGTAGACGTTAATGTCATCTAGTACAAGAATACATACATTACACAAAACACCTGAAGAAATAACATAGGAAAAAAGCTGATAGCAGCTCGTAACTTTAAAGGACTCCTTGAGCCAAATTGGCATTAGAGCAGACCGTGCACCGCAATGCCCCCTCTTACCGGATGAGACCCAAATCTCAAATTATGTCCTTCTTGCTACAATCACACATTGGAAGAAATACAAACCCCTTCAGGAATCCCAAGTAAAGCCACCACTGATTGCTCAACATACAGTTTATGGAATTCAAGGAAAGCCCAAAGTACATATGGATTCCAGTCTCTCACGACGTCTTTACCCGAGCACAATCTTCACCCATGAATAATAAATAATACTACGATTTGTGCCTACAAATCTTGTTGAGTTGTGTTTTCTCTGCACTTTGCTAAGGACATGTGCCGTCACAAAGGTTCTGCTCCATAGCTAACACATTTGATATGAGGTACGACTCACAAAAAACCGGGCAGCGTCCTAATCCACTGAAAGGCCGAGCAATGGTGCACGAGGTCTCAGTAGCAGAATACATTTTCGAGGGGCTCGAGAAGCATATCAGCTGGTCAATTCATTAAAAGATACAAGAAGTTCCGCCTGTCACCTCTTAGTGATAACACCCTGAATAATTCATAATTACACTAAAGAACAGCCTCATCCAAAAATTTTGCACTTATCATTGTGATGTTCTCTTCATGAAATTGTCGGTTGTTAAGGATATGCTGCTGCTTTTCAGGGATCGAATGTGAAATTCCGTTGATCGTCACTTCCATGGGCTACGCGGACACGGGCAAGCAAGCGGCATTCGTGATTCACAACTCTCGGAAAAGTCCCAGCAAACAGCAGCGGACCACACGAACCATGATCGAAGGAAAAATACCATATCAATGAAAATTTCTAAAAAAAACTGCGCATAAACTATTAAATATACATCATTATTCATTTCGATAATGGACAATTGCAAATCTACAGCGCTGC